GCACTAAGAAGATTAATTGGGAAAAGTATGAAGATCCTAGGTATTGTTCAAGTGTCTGAAAAAAATTGACAACTAAACTAGCATTTTTTTGCAATTTTTTAAATGATTTTTCCGATTTTTGCAATAACAATAATTATTTTTTCGAAATGCAACTAACTCTATCTTGTTCAAAATTTTATTACAAAACTTTTTTTCCTTTTCCATTTTTGTCTAAAATGAATAGTTTCTAAGTTGTCGACGAGAAATCCAAGAAAAAAATGAATTTTTTTGCTATTTTTTTATACTTTTTTGCAATAACAATTAAACCCACGTTTTCTTTTATTTGCATTGAAAAAATTATCATTTCTGATGTTATTTAGAAGCCGTTAAAGCAAAAATCTCCGATCATATACGTTTTACCCAACCCGAAACAGATACCGCCTGGACAAATCTTGCACACATAAAAACTACGTCGTAACCCCTTGCTTTTTAGCCAAATACGACAGCATTCTACTGTATAGATTCTAAGATATAGAAGCGAAAAGTTAGGCAAACTCGGATTCTTATTCTACATAGTATTTGGGATTTTTCTATACAACAAAATAGATGACTCGAAACACAAATGCCAAAGCCTACTTCAGTCTCGATTCAATGACAAAGTGATGCTCGCGGTTTTTTCGACTTTAATGGAATTGTGCATTTTGAAAACTAAAAACACAAACAAACAGACTATCTGATACTTTCAACACTTTTCTGTGTGTAACTACGCTTAAATCATGTGTTCAGACGTCTACATCCAAAATCACTTCTGCATTAATCCACAGAGTGTTCAGCGCCTAATTGTACGCCTCTCGTTGACAACTTTAGAAGTTTTGGCTGCGGTCCACTTTAAAAACACTAAATCGGCCTGTTTGCGCAATATTAAAAACTTTAAATTTAAATCAGATCGAACAGATCGCGTTATACGTTGAATGACATGTCCGGACCGTCGTTAAACATTTCTCGCCATCGCGGCACGAAAAGCACCTGAATTTTTTTTCTCTTCTCCAAATGTACGATATTCATTATTATTCTCTAATTTTAGAAATACACAGTTCAAACAAACTCGTTTTGTTCCCGGACCAACATAAACATAATTTATAGGACACATAGGAGCAGCTAAGTTATTTGTTTTAAAGTGAACATAATTCTTCAAAGACGATTTATTTTAACCGTAGTCTCAGCGTGAGGGCCATCGGGCAACCACTAAAAAGAAACGCTTTTAAAGAAGCTATTTATAATTGATAGGGAGAAACCTCATCCAATATATGTATCAATCAACAGCTAGACAAATAAGATATAAGAATGTTAAGTAACATTAGATTTATCGACAGATTCTTAATTACCGATGAATGCGTATGTTGTTCTCGAAGAGAAAGTGTACGTTTATTAAAAAAAAAGGATTGCAAAACTCTAGATAGGCGACAGATTGTACCACACACACACTTGTTGAAAGTAGTTCTGTTTGAAATAATTAGAACCAAATCCGTTTAATTAGAAATAAAAGGCGCACTTATACGCCGTGTTAATTAGTTTTCTGGTGTTAATTGAACAAAGCTAATTATGGAAAATCGGCGCGTAGGCCATACGAAAATAGTAACTTGTTGTGACGACTTTGATTGAACACTTTATAATTAGAATGACTTTATTAAAGAAAGGTCAGATTGAATGCAGCATTTCCATTAGAAGTCTACAGACTTTTTGTGTCACATAGTAGCTGAAGCAAAACTAAACTTTACGCTATTTGGTCATATTAAATGCGTACGATACGTATACGTAGCTATTTTGCGAACATAGTTTCCTTTTCTCTTGAATAAAGTTTTACTTCTGACTTAATTATTTCTTAATAAATTTATTTCTACTATTACTAATTTACTTAAAACTTGTGTTTTTGTCGCATATACAGCAAATAAGGCTACCATAGCGCTCTATTTTAACGTAAATAACGAACATAGTTACCATAGTGCTTTGTGTGGTCGAATATAGCAAGCACAGCATACTGTTGGTCGTAATAACGGCTGTATAGCGAACATAGCGAATATAGCTAATATAGCGCTCCATGTAGTCGTAATATTGTCTGTTTTAATGAATGCAACGAACATAGCTACTGTACTGGCTATTTTGATAGTTTATAGCGAACCTAGGAAACACAGCTCTCGTAACGTTCTTTGTAGTCGCAGTATTGGTTGTTTTAACGTATAAGAGAGCATAGCTAACATAGCGCCCCGTGTAGTCGCAATATCGACCGTTTTTAACGGACATAGTAAAGAAAGCGAACATAAAGTAAGCACAAAGTTATGTGTGGTCGCAATCAGCTGTATAGTGAACCTAGCAAACATAGCGAACATAGCTACTACAGCGCTCTCTGTGGTAGCAAAACTGAATGTTTTAACGTATCTAGCGGACATAGCTATCCTAGTGCTTCGAATAATCGTAATATTCGCTTTGATATAACGAACCTAGCGAATATAGCTATTATAGCGCCTTGTGTGGTCACAAAATTGGCTGTTTGAGCGTAAATAACGAATATAACTATTGGTGCTTCGTGTGGTCGGACATAGCGAACACAATATTCTGTTTGATCGTAATATTGGCTGTACAGCTAAACTAACGAACATAGCGAATATAGCGCTCTCTGTGGTCGCAATAATATCTATTTTAATGTATGCAGCGAACATAGCTACCATTTCGTATATAGAGAACCTAACATAGCTTCCGCAACAGTACATGTAGTCGCAATGTTGACTGTTTTAATGGGCACAGTAAACGTAGCGAACATAAAACAAGCACAAATGCGAACATAGCTACTTTCAATACAGTGAAAATTACATGGCTACTATAGTGCTTCGTATGATCGTAATGACTGTTTTGATATTACGAATATATAACATAGCGCTTCGAGTAGTTCCCATTTTAATGTATATAACGAATATAGCTATTTTCAATGTACATAGCTACCATAATGCTTCGTATGATCGTAATTACTGTTTTGATATAATGAATAGCTACTATAGCGCTCCGAGTAGTTCGCATTTTAACGTATATAGCGAACATAGCTATTTTCAATGTATACAGTGAAAATAACATAGCTATCATAGTGCTTCGTATGATCGTAATGACTGTTTTGATATAACGAATAGCTAGTATAGCACTCCAAGTAGTTCCCATTTTAACGTATATAGCGAACATAGCTATTTTCAATGTATACAGTGAAAATAACATAGCTACCATAATGCTTCGTATGATCGTAATGACTGTTTTGATATAACGAATATATAACATAGCGCTCCGAGTAGTTCCCATTTTAATGTATATAGCGAACATAGCTATTTTCAATGTATACAGTGAAAATAATATAGCTACCATAGTGCTTCGTATGATCGTAATGACTGTTTTGATATAACGAATATATAATATAGCGCCCCGAGTAGTTCCCATTTTAATGTATATAGCGAACATAGCTATTTTCGATGTATACAGTGAAAATAGCATAGCTACCATAGTGATTCGTATGATCGTAATGACTGTTTTGATATAACGAATATATAACATAGTGCTCCGAGTAGTTTCCATTTTAATGTATATAGCGAACATAGCTATTTTCAATGAATACAGTGAAAATAACATAGCTACCATAGTGCGTCGTATGTCGTAATGACTGTTTTGATATAACGAATGGCTAGTATAGCGCTCCGAGTAGTTCCCATTTTAACGTATACAGCGAACATAGCTATTTTCAAAGTATACAGTGAAAATAACATAGCTACCATAGTGCTTCGTATGCTCGCAATGACTGTTTTGATATAACGAATAGCTAGTATAGCGCTCCGAGTAGTTCCCATTTTAACGTATATAGAAAACATAGCTATTTTCAATGTATACAGTGAAAATAACGAACATAGTTAGCATAGCGTTCCTTGTGGTCTTATACCATAGCGCTGTGTGTGGTCCCGGCGATGTTTTAAGGTGATTCTTATTTTCGTCGCAGTTCAATCAAAGTCGAAATCGGTAAACAAGGCGATCTAATTTCCAAAAACCATTTAAATTTCGATTAAATCCACTTCCGGCGTGTCGAAAACGATAAACACGCTGAGATATCGGCGTCGAATGCGATGCGTCGCGTTGGGACAGATTATTATTGCCGAGCTGTGTTTTCGCGTGTCAAACTAGGAAAACAACGACACATTTCATTTCATAACGACCCATTAATATGTTGGGAGTACTTCCTGACGGGGCACACTCGATTTTGTGCCATTACTATCGAGGTCGAAGCAGGAGACGCCATATTTTTGGCACGCTGTCAGGGATCGTTTGTGTGACTGTTAATTGCTTATTTTTGACGGCATTGCGGCGAATATTTTGCTGCAACTGCATACGTGGAATGCCATTATTAAAAATGTGTTTATCTTAAATTGAAGCTATTTTATAAGGAAAGGGTTCGATCTACATTAAACTTCAAATTTTACTTGTGGAAACGCGCGCAAAACGAGAAAATGCGGCTGTATTCCGCATAACTAATTACTAAATTCACTGTGTGTTTAAGTCATTCCACTTTCAGCGGTACAAAGATAATATGCATACTAAAACATAGTTTTGTATTCCGGTTTACTCTGGAAACTAATTTAAAGGGTATTTGTGTTTAATTAAGGCACTGGCGACCCTCACGCCCTTGCTGGAATTTAAAATCAATTTAGGTCGAGTGTCCCTTTACATGTAGCGTGCAGGAAAACCAACATAACTCTAACGTGCACTTAAAAAAGTGCAAATCTAAGAAAAACAAAGCATTTTTCTCCAAGATATCATCGTTGTTTATGCTATATTACGTCTTGGCACCGATTTGGATTATGATTGGCGTCAAAAGTACTTGTCACGCGTTTCAGCAAGTATACTGGCATCATCGGGAGACAATTGAGAGGTGTTGGGGTAAGTAATGGTTAACCATATAAAGATACACCAGAGGCTGGGAAATTTTGGTCACTTACCTTGTTCTGCTCTGGTCCGGAAGTACGTGAGGGCCACAGCTAGAAGGGGGAAAACACGCCACATCAAACCCATGGCGGACGTGCTACAAAGGGACGTCCGGCCCTTGTCGGGGGACTGACGAGACGACAGCTACTTCATGCTGAAAAAAAAAATACATATAGTTGCAAAAGTTATAAAAAATCTAAGGGTACCCAGTACATCTATCATACCCATAGGTGGTAAAATGTCCAATGTCAAACACAACTTTTTGGTATGGTATGACGAATTGCTGTAGCAACACAAATGGTAGCCAAAAATGAAACCTCGTATCCTTTGGTGAATTTTAAGGGGATTCTTTCCTATAGAGTTCTTGAATTTTATTTTAAAATTTGTATTACGACATTATTTGAGGTTGTAAACAAATTTGTTTTACAAAAATGTTGTGTAAAATAATAAATAATGGTACTTTTCTCTTGAGTATTTTCGTGTTTTTTTAATTTATGAGCATCCTTTATGTCTAATCTGAGATGTTTGTATGACAGTCTCATTATTTCGAGGGGCAGAACTTTTTATAAACAGTGACATTTTTCGATAAAGTCAAAAACAAAAGAGTTTCTCCTTTGTCAACTCCATCCGTGGACACTAGTGATGTAACGAATATCCGCATTCGCATTCGCGAATATTCGTTTGATTTATGATATTCGCATTCGCATTCGCAAATATCTTTTGAATATTTTGCGAATATGAACGTAAAAGAAAAATACAGAATGTGAAAACAATATTAGGTAAATTAAACAAAAAAGTTAAGAAATAACTAACAACAGTCTAACCTCACAATTCTCAAACTCATCTGAGCCGGTAGCGAAAACAAAATAAAATTCCAATCATACAAAAATACCGTTCTACCAACTTAACAACGCTAATTTCTTTAACCTCTAGCGCCGCTGTCACCGGAAATATTATGTACGCCGCGCGCGGCATATTTTGAATCATAGATAAACGGCGCTAGATTTAAAAACGAATATTCGTATTCGCATTCGTATTCGCATTCGCATTCGCGAATGTCAACAACAGATATTCGCATTCGCGAATGCTTAAAAACTGGCATTCGTTACATCACTAGTGGACTAGTGGATATATACATTATTACTAAACTTTATTGTACATAAATTCTCAAGTTTTTACTAAATTATTTTATTAAAAAAGTAAAAAAAAATCAAAAGATCAGATTTTTTGCTTTCTTTAAAATTGTTTATTAACGTTTTTTGCATAACAATATTCATTAAAATTTTTTAAATTAGCCATTTCGATGGGAAATTAAATTCTCTACAAAATTTTTCCTATGAACTATACCGAAATTTTGCTTCGTTTTCGTGCTATATTTAAAAAAGTGCAAAAGTACATTTTCACCCTTATCCTCTATTTCAACCCTCTAATTTAATAGCACCTCGCAGTTTTTTCATCTTTAATTACTCTTCGAACAAGTCATGTGATGAAAATCCTTGAACGTCTTATTTCCTTCCCTTTTTGGAAAAAAATTTGAATAAAAACGTATAAGGGTAACGCGACGAGAATCGAAAAATTGGCTAAGTTTGAGCGGCCATATGTATATCAGTCAATTTTCATCCAAAAATACTCTACAACCTTTTGTTTTGAAGGAAGTTTTATCTACTTTTTCTTCTATGAAGCAATGCCTATATCTATCTTTACTCAAAAAAAAACCATAGGCAAAAAAGTAAAAAAAATCAGAAAATTGAATTTTATGCTTTTTTTCAAATTCTTTATTAACGATCAGCTACATTTTTTATTGATGGCCAGTCTCCTCCTCAAGGGTTTCCTCAGGAAGCATTTTTCAAGCGTTTCAATATGAGTAGCTTGTCTCAAAGACGCAAGTTAAATTCTGTTATTTTCTTATACAAGATCTTGAATAATAACATTATAATTATGTGAAGATATAATGATAATGATGATATAGATACAAATGATCAATTTTCATATTCCTAGAACTTATACCCGACATTTACACCTTTTCGCGATCAAGCATCATCGTACTAATTTATATATGGCGTCTCCGGTTCACCAAATGATTATTGGTTATTCTAACATTGAATCTCGCATAGATATACTTTGCTCCAGTATTACTCAAATTAAAAAAGTGTTCCTTTTAATTTTATGTTTGTATAAGTATGTTTTTGCATTTGTTTGTATTGTATTATAGCATTTTAATATTATATGTCTGTTCCCTGTTTGTTTTAGATATTATGTTTTGTGGTATTTATTTTGTTTAAGAATAGTTTTTCTCTTTCACTCTTTTTTTTAGTTTGAAACCTTATCCTGTAACTGGGCATTGCCCGTTGGATATTGTAATTAAAAAATAAAAATAAAAAGATAAATAAATAAAAACTATTTGAAATAATTAATAAAAATAAATAAAAAATAAAAATTTAAACACTCTGTATCTCGGAAACGAAGCATATTTCGACCTACGTTTATATAAACTTCTTTTTCACAAAATAACTCCTAAAATATTTCGCACTCATTTACAAACACCCTGTATAAATTATAGTCAAGAGTGTTATAACTACACACATTAATAATAGATTGTATTTTGTGTAGCCATATTGAAATGCCTCCGATCCTATTCCACAAAGGAGCTAGAATTAAACATAATGAAAGAACAAAACGCAGCACGAGGGCATTCCACCATGCACTTTTACATCACGCAACGTCCCAACATGCATATTTATCACCGATAATCTATTATAAATATAAAACTCGGCCCATAAATATCAGGAGAGATATTACACCGATCTTTAAATATTAATGATAATTACTACTTGTACAACTATTTAAGTAAACTAGTTTATAATAATATGCAGGACAGCATAAATAGATCATATTATAAAAAGGCTTGGAGTGCCTATATTTCTTTTTGTGGATACTGCCCACATGCTCGATAGGGCAGGGCTTGGATCTAATAAAATAAAGTGTAATGTAAACGGGCCGAGATAGACAAACTACCGCCTCTTAGAATACAAAGGTTATCCATCAAATCTGTGACGTTTTCGGTGTCATTTCGAACGCATTGTGTTTATATCCGACAAAAGATCGACTGTTTTCGGTGTTACAATTGAAAATATTGTTGTGACACTAGTTATATTGATACTAAATTCTTAAGGAGGTATATCGGGTTTACTCAAATGTACAGATGCACTTGAAATTTATACGGCGTATTACCCAGTATTACCCACTCTGTGCGTAATATTTTTTTGAAATTTTTTTTTGAATCTAGATTTTGAGATATTGTTGTTGAAAGTTGTTCATTTTGACATAGGTTTATATGGCGAAGATGGACGGTGCGGTCCTTTTTTTACCCATAACTGAGAAAAAAATGTAGAAATTGTGAAACAAAACTTTTCCATAGATAGTACACAGTCTTATCTTATTTTTTATGTAAAACTAATGTAAGTTTTGAACATAGTGCAGCTGTATTAATTAAAAACAGAAACCAATAATTGCATTTCTGTCTGACTAGAGGATTAATGTGGCAACGTCGCAATCAGCTGACAGCAAGGAGGGAATACATTTGAAAGACTTGATAAAAACGAAATTGATTTCAAACTTATACATTTTTCCTAAATCCCATGTACATTGTTATCAAGAATACATTATCCACAACAGATGATTTTTTGTAATGTTTTTAAAAAACTAGATTAATTAAAAAAGACTAGGAAGCTGTGATATATTTATCGGAATAAAAAATACAGTTGATAAATCCTTTTAATATATTTAATGGTTTATAAAAACATCGTAATCATTACCCAGCAATATTTAGGGTTACATAAAGTTTTCTTTACTTGATTAATATAATTAGTAATACTTGAGATAAAGCATTTGTACGGAATAACAAAGGAACATAAATATTTCTCAGCAAACTTTATATCTAAGAAATTAGTTATAGTTGCAAAACTTTTGTAACATTACTCAAATAGAGATGAAAAACACGAACAGTGAGTAATAATGTAATTTCTATCACAGAACCTTCAAAATTGCATCCAACATTTTCTTTGACTTGGACGAGAGATGGGCGCGAGTGTCATTTCATTTCTTTAGAACTAAATTAACATAATTCTCGTTGCTTTACCAGTTCACATGATTTACGGATTTTAAATAAAGGATACAAATCTTCGCGACAAGTATACCTTTTTTTTGTAGTATGCTTTAGAGTTTACAGAACCGTTTAGAAATGTAATAAATTTTGACTTTCAACATATTCTTTGATGAAATGAACAACATTTATTCGATGGCAAAGAAAATGTATGTGTTTTTCTGGTGTTAATGTTAAAGGTTCCTTCTCAAATTGTACTTTTCAAAAAAAATTGTAAATGATTTTTGTTACTAATTTAAAGCAAATTATTGTTATATATCAAATTTTAGTGTTAATAAACTTCGGACTTTAATTTGTCTACTTCATTTATGCAAGGCATATTTATTATTCTATGCTTGCAGAAAGAAGGAACAAATATGTAAAAATATACAGGGTGTTCCATTTAAATTAACAAAGTTAACATCTGCAGCCATTTTATTTGAACTTCATTTCGTTTTTCAGTTTCGAAAAGTTCATAAAAAACCGTGCAACTTTTGTGTTTTACATTTTTTATAACTCTAAAAACAACAAGTTAATGGGGTGTCAAAATATAGTGAATCACCCTGTACATATTTGAAAACAAAAAAACAATTTTTAAACGAGTAACAGAACTGAGATAGAGGATTTGGGTAGCGATTTTCGACTATAAAATCTATTTTCCGTCTCCCATGACTACCAGTCGTTACCGTTGATAATATACTTAACTTATTTTTTAACCTATTATCTCCCAAGAATTTCCGTAATTTATTTCGAATTTTAGGAGGTGTCGATACTTATTACCTCTTACAAGAGCGTTTAAGGAAACCTTATCTCTCACGGAATTCTTTCTTCTACTCCACCAACTCGAGTAGTAAGTAGCCGTGGTTATCGGGCCCTGGAAATAGGTAGCAACACCATAATCGACCCACAATCTAAAAACTGAAAACCCATTACCGCACTAATTGCGGCAGTATTTCTTATTTATTCAAACTACTGGATTCCGAGTGGGCCGTTCAACGGCCAGAGATTAAACT